ACATTTAGGGAACTTCCATCTATGAGTGTGTGAGATTTGGTACAAGTTTGATTGAATTGACTGTTGGGCCTTGGCTTAGGTTTGCACTCTAATGATTCTAGTTTAGTGATTTATTTCCAGGAATGAAATGTTACAACAGTTGTTAACCTCTTGCATATTGTTAGGACATTTATGTATAGTTTGAGTGTATTTCTTTCTTAATCTGGTAATCAATGCTTTTAGCTGTTTAGTGGTGTGATTACTATCAGTCAAATCTCACTTACCACCCACACAGTGATATTAGAGTCCGCGGACCCCGTCACCATCTTGTCATCTTTGCGGGTCGCGTGGAGACCCCACACTTTGTCCTGGTGGGCGTCCAGCGTCTTCACACACTCATTTGTCTTTATGGTCCACAGCTTTACTAAACCGTCGGAGCCACTAAGGAAAGAAAATCGGAGTAGAGTGAACATCAAGACGTGGCAAAAATCATGAATTTTAAACTAAAATGTGTTAGTGTGGATGAAGCCTGATCAGACGTCTGAGATTACAAAATGAGCAAACATCAGGGTTTTTGAAAGCTTTGTTTTCCTCATCAATGACAATATTTTTTCAAAGCATCCATTCATTTCAATGCTTCATCTGAGCATATGTAGGTAAACTTGTATTTGTGTATATATATATACATACTGAATTATGGAGGAATGATTCCCATGGGAGGCAGCTGGGTTTACCTGGTGAGCAGCTGAGTGCCACGACTCACAAAAATCACTTTCAAAACTGATGCGTCGTGTCCCTCAAATGTCTAAAGAAAGACAAAGACAAAAAATAACATGACCGTTTCTACCTCACAGTGGTTTGATGGTTTTGAGCTGAGAATCACAGTCAGTTAAGGAAAGACACAGAAACTAATAAACATTTCTGTCATATTTTATATGAATCTCATCTTCACAGAATTCCAGATGTTATTACACTGATAAGGAACAGTGATTGCACAACCAGAGTATCCAGTCAATCTGTTCCAGTCATAAAATACACATACACATGTAATATATTCACACCCAGTCGCTCACCTTCAGGCAGCTGAAGTCCTGCAGGCTCCAGAGCTTGGTGGTGCCGTCAGCGGAGGACGTAGCCAGCACCTGGTCGACAGGAGAAAAGCAGACGGCCCAGACACCACGTCGGTGGCCACGGAAGACCCCCAGCAGGCCCAGATTCCCCTCGTCTGCCAGGGACCACAGCTTGGCGGTTCGGTCCTGGGAGCCCGATGCCAACAGCTTGTCATTGGGCGACACTGCAACACTGTTTATATCCTGGAGAAATAACAAGAGAGAGAGGAATAACTTCACAAAGTTGATGAGAGTAAAAGTAAGAGGATGTGGAACAAAATGGAAAAATATGAAGACTTCGAAGGATTTTTTTAAAGAAGTTATCAAATGCATTTATATAAGGATGTATAAATAGAATTCATTTTACTTTGTTAAGATTAATTCTTCTTGTTATGTTGTAAATATGTTATATTTACCGTACCAGTCACATTCCTGGTACGGTAAATACTGTAATAAAGATGGACGACATGTGTCCACTTCCACCAACCATCCAAAAATAAACCCTAAACATCCGTGATACAAACACCACCATCTTGTGCATTTGGAGCAAGAGTCTCCGTAATCGTTCACAAGAAAGGGGAAAACTAAAGCCTTGGCCCACAGCTCTCACCTGCTGGAGGCAGAAAGAGCTGCAGGGATGTAAATCAAATGGTCGTAATTCTCCGCAATCACAGTGGACATTGCTCAGGTCTGGTATTTCACATGAAAACAAAAGACAAGTTAAGAAACCAGGCTCTGCTGATGAACAGACAGTCAATTGTTAGGTTGTGAGAGGAGTGTGTAGTGTAGCAGGAAACTGGAGTGAGCTCAAAAGTTAATTCCCGTATCTTGCTAAGGGTAATCAGTGGTTTAATCTGCACTTCCTTATGGGGAAATTCACCCTACATAAATCTACTGTATTTAGACAAGCAATTGTTGTGTGTGTCCCCCTCATGCCTAAAGAATCTTATAAATTATAATGCTGCTGTAATATATACACACATGTAAGATGGCTTTTAAAAAAAAATGTGACTTAATGTTAAACTATTACACTTCCACAATTTGTGTCAAGTGTTATAATGTTACCTTCAGACAGTCTGCACAGGTTTCCACTACAACTCCAAGAACAGCTGTGTATACATGTATTAAAATGATTTAGTCAGGTTTCTGTGGTTAAACAGGTGTAATGACAGCAGTGACACCTTTATGAATAAAATACTCTCTCCTCAAATTACAGAAACTCTTTCAAAGGTAAGTGATAGTGCTGGAAACAGGAAATGGGATGGGCCAAAGGTATACATATATCATCATATATCATATATCATAAAAAACAGAGCCGTGGTGAAATATTCCAGCAGAGCTAAGTTAAAGAATAGATCATTGTCACAGCTTTGAAAGATCAGGTCTGTGCAGGTCACAAAGCTAAACAAACCAACCAAAGTCAGTCACATCTCTAGCCAACCGCATAAAGACACAAATTCAACAACAGATTTTTAACCTGTTGACACAGCTATGAAAACAAAGAGCATGCATTAGTAACCATGGGGGAATAAAATAAAGAGCAATAACAATAAACTGGCAGTTACCAAAAGTTGCATCAGACACTTCACTAGTTGAATGTTAACAGCTTAGCGTGCATGTCAACATAAGTTCATTGTTTTCTGTTTCTGTGAAAAATGTTACATTTCCTTGTCAACTTTTTGTGAAGTGGAAAGCTCATCTAAACTTGGAGTTTAACCCTATACTCTATATATAATACCCTTCAAGCATTCACAGAACAAACAATAAAAGAATTGAGTAAATTGTGTTCGGGTCTCTGTCCTACAACAAGGCACAATGGTCCTCTAAGAATTTGAAGAAAAAATATCTCTTTATCCACAAGAATTTAAAAAGACATTTTTTGGAAAATGTTGCCTTCATTGATGAGGCGGTATGAGGAAGAATTGTGGGAGAGAGTAGGAAAATGCAGGAAATGGCCAGGGTCGGAACCGACACAACAGGTTGCAACAAAACACTATATATATGTTTTTCTTTGGGCGAGCTGCCAGCTACTTATGGTTCATTTTTTATTCTTCCTGGAGAGTGTGCAAACATTCCTGACGTGTACCTTATCATGCGCCTTCTCTGTGCAGCGGGCGGTCAGCTCGTATATGTCTTCTCCCGTCGCAGGCAGGTCTGCAGGCAGATCCCACACCTTGACGGTGCAGTCCTGACTGCCAGACACTACGAAAGTTGCTTTCATCCTTCACACAGAGACAAAGATGGAGGATCACTACTGTCAAGCTGCAGCTTCACAAAGACTCGTCTACCAGCTCACTCACTATCTGTGTTTATACATGCGATAAGAAAACATTAGTGAGTGGAGGAATGTTAAGTGTTACCTGGAGCAGGTGATGGAGCCCACAGCATTACTGTGGCTGGAGCCCTGGGCCACACATCTCACTTGACCACTATCACCATCCAGCTGCCACACACGCACTGACCTGTCCTGAAGACAAACACACACCACACAAATATCACTGTTTACATAAATGTTAGTTAATGTTCCTTTAGTTATAGATTAACTTATTTCAAGCATGTCTATTTGTGGGCAATGTGTGGAACTAATCATTAATCACTGTGTTTCTGTTCCTTGTCTGGTGCACAGAGGTGAGCTCACCTTTGCACAGCTTGCAAAGAGAGAGCCTTTTTTGAACACATCCAGAGACAGGACAGTGTCTGTGGAAGAAAGAGGCAGAAAGTACGATAGATAAGAAACGCAACCCAACCTGCTCAACAAGTTAACTTTTAACAGTGCAAAGCTGAGACATAGCTACTGTCTCTGCCTCTTATTCCTATAATGCCAGTTTTCATTTTCATTAATTAAGAACTGTTCATTTTAATCATTCACCTAAACCCACATTCCTTTTTCTGTGTTAAGCACATCCACTTTCAATATTACTATGTACGAAATGTATGAACTGAAACAGCAAGCAAAGACTTCAATCCAAAGACTTTTTTGCCATCATTACCAGTGTTGTAATACTTTTATTTCTTAATTATTTTAAATTCTTAAAAGGGAAAATACTACTGCAGCTTTCAGAAGATACAGCGAAACTTACAAAAAATATGCTTTAAAGTTTGAAGCCAAAAAAGTTGAAACATGTAAAATATAGATAAATAAATACAATTAAAGATACAATATTGTGCTATTAACCTTTATGGGCAAACATCATCAGCAAAGAAATTTCCTAATTACTTCAGGTGGCTCTACACGAACACGTGCTGCCCCCTGCTGGTGGTGACTGACCTGTGTGTCCGTAGAGGATCTGGCAGCTGTTGGTGAGCAGCTCAAACACTTTGAGCTGGCAGCTGTTGGTTGCCACCACGATGTGACTGTCTTTACCCAGAAACTTCACATCCAGCACCTCATCACTGTAACCCACAAACTGAGAGAGGGTGGAGAGGGGGAGCGACAGAGGAAGAGCGTTCATTAGTTCTGCATCGTTCACAGTGAACACCCGGTATGTCACAATAACATATTTCAATTTTAACTGAAACTAATATAGATATACTAAATATTACCCACCTGCTGCTGTGTGGTGAGGGCAGGCAGCTGGTAGAGCACTATGTTGTGTTCTGCAGTGACTGTGGCAAGTCTAGAGGAGACGGGCAGGTGAAGCAGGTACGTTAGACTGCGTGGGTTGTCATCCTGCTCTTCCTCCTCACCAGAAACAGGGCTGAGGGTAGAGAGGAGCTTCTGGCTGTAGATGCAGCGCGCCGTGCTGGCCTCCCACACTCTTAACACCCCTACGGAGAGACGATGGGGGAGGAGATGTAAGTTATAGAAAGCACAGGGACACAGCTTTGATTTTCAGAACTATGTAAAAATCAAACCTTTGCTTCCAGCTGTAATGAAATGCAAGTCTTTGCTCTCTACTCCAATCTGAGAGAAATCTTTATTCTCAGGCAGCAGCACAACGCCCTCCACAGCCTGGAGACCAAGACAACACGCAGAGCAAGTTTAGACGAGGAGTAAAATATATTACCAGGAATTGTAAAACAAATAAGACATATCTGATTCACAGTCTGACCTCGTAGACAGGTACAGTCCTCTTGGCTTTCCGAGTCTCAAGGTCCCACACTGTACAGATCTTATCTCGACCAGAACTGCACACAAAGATCAACACATAAACAACAGCTCTCAAACCCGCAGCTTTGGAAGACAGACAACTCCATCTGATATTTGTAGATAAGAAGACAGAAGGGATATTGTGTCCATTTTGCGGGGGGGTATAGACACACAGTACAATACCTGACCATGGTGTCACCATCAGCGCTGAAGCTGAGGGAGGTGACGGCGCTGTAGTGGCTCTGCAGCACACACACACACTGACTGGAGCGCAGGTCCCACAGCCGGATGCCACAGTCCAGAGATGAGGAGAAGAGCTGCAGTCGGCTGATGTCTGGGTGGAACTGGACGAGGCTGCAAAGATACACAAAGATTAATTCAACCGTCACTTCTTGTTCATAAAGATAGGTATAAAAACAGTAGTGTCCACTTTAACCTGAAAGCTCTAACATGTGACATCTGTAACTTTCCAACTGTAAATGTGAACATAACAGTGATTTGATCAAATTAAATTCTGATTATGCGACGCTCTTTTTTTCCCTCCACACATGAAATAGCCGGCTATTTATGAATAACTCACTAAACTTACCCCCTGACTGAGGGTCTAACTTTCAAAACCAAGCTACAACTTCTATAATAACAAATAATTTGAAGAAATAATCTTCATGCTGTTTCAACTGTAGTATATCTGGACTTACTGCACAACTCCAGATGACCCTTTCAGGTTGTGTGTGCAGTACTGCTTCACCACATCCCAGAGCTTAATGGTACCGTCACAGCCACCTGCAGAACAACAAGAGGAGAAAGTCTTTACACTGTAAAACGTTCTATGCAGCAGGTGTATTAACACAGCTATTAGCTTTTAGCTGACCTGTGGCGAGGAGTGTGGAGGTTGAGTCAAAGGTCATACTGGCTACAGGCACCGTGTGAATGGCCCTCCAGGAACGAGTGCACTGAGCTTGTCTCCAGTCCCACTGCTTCAGCAGCAGAGCCCTGCTGGCTGTTACCAGCAGCTGAGGTGGGACACAGAGCACAGGTTAATAAACACACATACTAAACACTCTTGTACAGGCTAACATTAGAACATCAAGAAAAATCACACTGAAGTAATGACAAGTGGCCGAGGCATCTGCTTTACCTCATCGTCACAGCTGAGTGCGAAAGATGTGATGTCCTCTAGATCATCCTGTAAACGGACAAGATGGGAAAGATCTCAACATTTGAAAGTACAAATTATTGATATGTTTGACTATTGAAAACACAACTTTAACTACAACCTTCACTCAAGAGTAAAAAAGTGTCTTTAATTTAAAATAAAATGATAATAGAGACATTTATTTTGATAATTATCCATATCAACTGATATGAAAATTAAACTCCAGGCCTCAGAGGACTTGTGGACTCACATGCTCAACACTGTGGATAATCTTCCCTGTGCTGATCTCCAAAACATTGACACGAGAGCCACAAGTGCAGAAGATGTGTTGCTCATCGTTGCTGATCTGGAAAAAAAAGGTGGAGGGAATAAAGCTGCTGTCATCAGAGTCAGGTCAGTCAGCCTGTCAGCACATCTTTATTATGTCTTATGAGGAGAGGTCAGGACTCTTTATGCTTGAACAAGTCAGGACATTTTCACGACAGGTGCATCACTTAAGACCAGCAGTGTGGTATTAAAACTTATTTTTTATGATTAGTACTTTATTATTTTCTTACAACAAACAAATGTTTGTCACATGATTGTTCTTCTTCAAATTTGATCAAACTAACCTGGAATCATCCCAAACACGATTAAAGACAAGAAATTTAAGATGTGCATATGAGATAATAATGCGATATAATAAATATTAATGTATAATTCAGTTATAAACTCACAA